TGCACCGAGCTCACCGTCGCTGCTGTTCCGCGGAGGAGACGCTGCCGCCGTGCGCCGCCGCTGTTGTGAAATGATGCTGTGCGCGCGAACCCTTTTTGTTCCAGATTAAAAAGTTCTTCCATGATGTTAGGTTTTATAGATGGGATAAACCCTTTTTGTTCAAATTGGGACCTGACAATATTTTTTCGCAGGAGTATTGCTGAGGATGAACATAATGAGATTCTGGAGGCATGCCACAAATCACAATAAGGTGGACTTTTCGCTGGATGTAAAACTGCGGTGAATATCCTTCAAACTGGTTTCTTTCAGTCATCCCTATTTCGAAATGCACACATTTTTGCTCAAAACTGTGACTAGTGTCAAAAGTCAGGTAACTTGACACGGAAACATGAGATGCCTTAAACCCAATATTTGAAGTTGAGTTGTTTGATGTTTAGGGCATCGACTTCATGGGTTCGTTCCCGCCATTATTCTGTAAGAATTACATTCTTTTGTCTGTTGATTACGTTTCGAAATAGGTTGAGGCTTTGGCCACCCCTACCAACGATGCCAAGGTAGTTTCTCTCTTCTTGCAAAAATTAATTTTTACTAGATGTGGTACACCTAGATGCTTGATTAGTGATGATGGCACACACTTTTTTAATAGAGCAGTAAGTCTTTTGTTAAAAAAGTATAACATTCATCATAAGATTGTCACTGCCTATCACCTCAAACTAATGGATTAGCAGAGATATCCAATCGGGCAATAAAATCAATTTTAGAGAAGTCTGTGAATGTGAATAAGAAGGACTGGGCTATTAAACTTGATGATACATTGTGGGCATATAGAACTACATATAAAACTCCGTTAGGTATGTCCCCATATCACATTATTTTTGGTAAAGCGTGTCATCTTCCGCTTGGATTAGAGCATAGAGCATTTTGGGCTATGCTAAAACTAAATTTTGATTATTCTGTTGCAGGTGAAGCTCGGTTGCTATATTTACATGAGTTGGATGAATTTCGTCAATTTTCTTATAATAATGCTAAGATGTATAAAGAACAAACTAAAAAATGGCACGATAAGAAAATAATGTATTAAGAATTTGGAACCTGGAGACTCATTGTTGTTATTCAATTCTAGATAAAGGTTGTTCTTAAGTAAGCAAAAGTCTAGATGGTCGGGCCCATTTTTAATTGAACGTGTTTATCCACATGGAGTTGTGGATTTAAGTGATTCGAACGGTAATATGTTTAAAGTAAATGGGCATTGAGTGAAGAAGTCCTTTGGTAAGCATATTGACAGAGGCAAAACCTCTGTATTACTGAAAGATCTATGAGAAAACAGTGAGAACAGTCCCTCTGTAGGTGTTGAAGACGTTTTTATGTAAAATATTTTTTGTCTTATTTTTGCGAAATGTTTACATCTGTTGTTATGTTTTTTTGTGTAGATTTCAAATCTATTTTTTATTTTTACATTTGAATTTTGCAGGATCAAGATCTTGGTCACTTCAAAATTGCACCAAGCGTAATTTAAGAAAACATTTTGGAGATTTTCAAATTTCAATGGGTTTTCATGGGATTACTTTGGGTTTGTTTTAAATGGGCTTTTGGGCTATTTGAAAACATAAATGCCCGATTGTTAAAACCCTAAAGTATTTTAAATTAAATACAAAAAAAAAGAAAGCCCTAATCTCTCCCTCGTTTGTGTTTTTCACCTCCCTAAAATCCCAACTTGTTTTCAAATTTTTCTCATCAGATCTCAAGAATCCCAAGAATTTCTCATACCCCTCTCATTTTCGACCAACTTAGGTTAGCATTGAGGAATGTTTTCGTTCATTTTCAAGCAAAGTGCCAAGACGCAATGGAAGCCTCATCCTCCTCCAAGCCATGCGACAAAGAGAACGGGAAGACGGTGATACTTCCACCACCTACTCCATCAGGTATGATCCCTCTTCAACCCCCTCAAATCTCTCGTGAAAGATAATTTTTTATTCTAGGGTACAAAGAAAGAAACTAAATGAAGCTTTAAGAATGAACCCTAGAAAGAACCTATCCATAAGTAATGAAAATTCTAAAAAAAATTACTTTAAAAAGGCCATAGTGAAAAAGGATTAGAAGAATTTAGCAACATCTACCTTAGAAAAAATCAATTTGTGGGTGATAAAAGGTTCTGATTTAGAAGAAAGTATTGCTAGGATTAATGAGAGAATTGATATTGACAATAGAAAAGAGAGATTAGGGATAAGGAGAATGAGGTTATTTGTGCCAAGATAGCGGAACTAAATGATAAATGGCAGAAATTTATGGAAAATTCAAGGAGGATGAGTGAAGAAATTCAAATTGAATTAAATGGTATGAATAAATGCTATATGTTGAATTCCCCTCAAAACAATCTCGTTTCCGAATCTTTAGAGTTATCTATCCCTTCCCCTCCTTCCATTACCGTTGCTATGGAAGTAGAAGGTCAAAAACAGGTTACTGGTGATTCTGAGCATGACACAGAACGATTGGAGCACTCAGATTCGGCCACAGTCGAAATCCACTACCAAAATGCGCCTGGCGCAATTTTGGAGAGCACTTCACCGTCTACTCTACAAGGTATTTCGTCTCCCAATTTTCCAGATGTCCCTTTGACTAAAAAGCCATTAGTTTTTTATGATGTAGAATAGGAAAGGGCGACGTCAAAAGTTGCCAAAATTTTCGTGGCTTTGAATGAAGAAACGGGGGAAAATCCATTGGAGGATGATGGAAACAGTGGGGAAGCTCAGAAGAGGCTAAATGATGATGGCAAAGATGAGGATCTTGGAGATTTACCCCAAGAAGTCCATGGACAAATGTAACGCCCCGCGTTACTCAGGTTAGCTTGCCCCGAGTTCCGGAAAATTTTATAACAAAATGGATTTTTATTTATTGTTTCATTGATTTATTTCATTGTTATTTTTTTTMATTGATTCATCAGTGATCTTATTTAATTTAAGTGTGACATCTCGACTGGTGTGTATTGTTACAGTTTTAGTGGTGAGTTAGTAGCGTGTAGTTATTTATCAAGTTACATATAGCACGGAATTCCATTATGCGACACATGTTTTGGATCATTGGGCCAATTACGAAAYTCTATTATTGGTTTGTTTTAACAAGGAAGGGTTGGGTAAGTGGGCCTTAAACATAGGGAAAAGAACCCAAGCCCAAAGGAGTTAAAATTTTGAAACAANTAGAATGGTAGGCTTTGACATCTTTTCCCTGAGACAATTTATGATTGAACATCTCGGTTGCTTTTGCTTTACCTTGTCCATGTGTTAGAAAGCTGTAACGCCCCGCGTTACTCAGGTTAGCTTGCCCCGAGTTCCGGAAAATTTTATAACAAAATGGATTTTTATTTATTGTTTCATTGTTATTTTTTTTAATTGATTCATCAGTGATCTTATTTAATTTAAGTGTGACATCTCGACTGGTGTGTATTGTTACAGTTTTAGTGGTGAGTTAGTAGCGTGTAGTTATTTATCAAGTTACRTATAGCACGGAAWTCCATTATGCGACMCATGTTWTGGATCATTSGGCCAATTACGAAAYTCTATTATTGGTTTGTTTTAACAAGGAAGGGTTGGGTAAGTGGGCCTTAAACATAGGGAAAASAACCCAAGCCCAAAGGAGTTAAAATTTTGAAACAAGAAAAGGGAACCCTAGCCACTTGTTCTCCTTTTCCCTTTTYC